GTGTGATTCTCAGAGGCAGTGGAATCTTCTAGAACTTGGAAAGATATTTTAAATCCCTGGATCCTCCATGTGAATCACTGGGGCTCAGAGATCTGTGATCTATTCCTGTCAAATAAGTGGGCTCAGAAAAAAGCTTAAGAGGTGCTGGCCTAGAGGGAGGGATAGACACTCTAACACATGTCATGGCGAGTGTTACAAGGGATGCCAATTGCATGTTGCAAAAAAAAAAAAAAAAAGCACAAGGAAGGAACAAATTACCTGGGGAAAAGGGTTTCCAAAGGATTCTAAGAAGATTCTTATCTGTCCTGGGTCTTTAAAGAAGGAATGTAACTGGCCCAAGGCATTCCAAGCACAGGTAAAAGCATGTGAAAGTTATTGGGAAAAAAACAGGACCCTCTGGAAGACCAAGCAATCTGGAGTGCCCAGAACTGGGGGCGCTGAGGCTGTGTAGAGGGAAAGGACTAATTGGAAATGACAATGAAAGCATGTTCCGGGGTTAGATCAGGGGAGGACTTTCCCATCAAGTTAAGTAGTTCCCATCTGTCTTCTAGGGAAATGACCAGCAGAGGCAGGAGTATGGATGCATCCTCACAGAAAAATTGAAAGCAGGGAGTGATAGTAAGAGACACAGGTTTTGACTTTACTTTAACACACAGAGAAAGTTATTCAACATTTAGCTTAGACATATAGTAAACTAATTACATATACTTATATGGCCCTTCTTTTGACCACTATCCCTCTGAGCCTGGGATTGGTCTCTCTAAGCCACCATTAGATCAGGTTCTCATTTTTGCCCTTTCTGCTTCAGGGCAGCCTGGTTCTCTCCTGACTGCCCATTTCTGAGCCCATGGTTAGGTTCTCTGGGCCAGCGAGAGAAAAGTCTGGTAACTGTATGGAGGTGGGATAGGAATAGAGTCAGAGCAGCTAACAAGATAGTCTAGAAAAGAGTGACCAGGGACTATAAAGTAGGAGGACACTGATCCCATTTGTCTCAGAGGATCCCAAAGAAGAAAACCAGGATCCACTGATGCAATCTGATAGTCTCAGCTGCCTAAAGATGCAAGAGAGCACCTTGATTTGTTACTGTAGCTCTTTAGACAAACTAGAGGCTCATTTGGCAGTGAGAGGATTTAGGTTTGTTAGTCATCTATTTTGGCATAAATTACCCCAAAATGTAGTGGTTTAAAACAACAAACATTTACTATCTCAATTTCTGTGGGTTAGGAATTCAGGAGTGGCTTTGTTAGGTGATTCTCGCTCAGACACTTACACACTCCCTCATGAGATTCAGTCAAGAAATCTGTGCAAGGCTGCTGCAGTCATCTGAAAGTTCATTCAGAGCTGAGGCTATTAGCAAGAAGCCCCAGTGTCTTGCTGGCTTTTGGAAGGAGGTCAGAGTTCTTTGCCATGTGGACCTCTCCACAGTGCTGCCTGTCTATACATGGCAGTTGGTCTTTCTGAGAGTGAGAAAGCAAGAAGGATGTCACAATGCCTTTTTTGATCTAGCCTCAGAAGTCACACACTATCACACTGCCATATTCTTATGCCTTGTAAGAGAGTCTCAGGGAGAGGAATTAAGCTCCATCTCTTGCAAACAATTTACGGATAAAGCACATGTAACAGGGTCACACAAGAGGATTTTGAATATTCCTTCATACCTGAGATTTACCAATTCTATTCATGAATCAGTAAACAGAGGACAAACCTTGAAAGTGTCCTGTACTTGAGTCATCCCACCCTTGAAGTGGCCCCACTGGGGCTCTTGTAATTGATATATTTGTCAAGAGGAGAGGTTCAGTAATGGGTTTCTGGAAACTCCACCAAGTGACAATGGGGTTTGATTGAAACTGCTCTTGTGGTGTTATGGAAACACTACTTATGATTTTCAGAAAAGAGAGTGGACACAGAAAAAGCTTAAGTTAGAAACTGTTTTAATTATACTATTCTTTGGGGGGAAAAATGATTTACCAATATACAGTAATCCAGTTCTTGGGGGGTTTTTTTTGTTTTTTTTTTTTCATTTTGGGAATTGTTTTATTTGGATTGTACATAAGAAAGACTTCTGAGCTCTCCTGGTTACTAGATATTACTAAGCATTACAGAGCCATGAGTTTATGAAGTTAAACTCTCATGAGGGTTTTATAAGGCAATATAAGAAGTCATGGTCCAAACATAAAGCAAATTAAGTTGTGGCCTGCTTTGGAGCAACTGATAGGGTATAGCATGGGAGAAACCACTTGACCTTGATGTTTGAAATATTCTCCTTTTACAGGCAGAGGTTTATGACAGACACTTATGAGTCCAATCTTCCACTACTGGGATCTGCAGTGAGTAATATTTATACATTCTTGGTACTGCCAATGCTGGTTACTAACTATCACTGTTCAGAACCTCTAATCAAAGTGTAGAAGACAAGTTAGCTATAGGACAGAATGTGGATGTTAATAACCATCGCAGCAATTGCTAGAGATTGAGGTGAGGGTTGGGAGTAAAAAAGAAAGAAGAAAGAACACATGAACTTTCCTGAACTTACATAGTCAAAGACGTGAGGTATGGTTGAGAGATTGTATAAAGTTGAGGAATCAAGAAATAAATTAAGAAATAGTATGTTACAGTTGCAATAAAATTAAAATTTATGATTTCAAGTTAGAGTAGAAGTCTAACAAAGTCAGGAGGAAAAGGGAGCGGAAAGTGATGTGAACTACATTCTTAATTTTTTTTCCCCAAAAAGGAGCCACAAACTACAGACCAATCAAGAAATAGAAGCATGAACATATTCTATAGAGTGCAGGTGTTTCCAACAAGAATAACCAGAACCAGAGACTGGTGGCTCTGGGACTGAGGTGACCATGGTGACTTTCACATCTCCTTTCCTATCCTTCTATACATACATTACTCTTTTGAACAAATGTAAAAATCCATGTGGTTGGTATCATCTATAAGTTGATACTAGCCTATGTTCACCAGGTTTTAGAAGATAAACTTCACAAACATTAATTCCTCTAGTTAGGTTTAACAAATGGCAAGATTTTACTTATTCTGAAATTCACACTTTACATTTCATTCTTCTTTTTGAAACAGAGAGTAGGAATTAGTTTACAAATTACTACCTTGGTGATAAAAACTATTTAAGATGAGCAAAAATGCTATGATTTATCCTTAAATATGCATTTCTATACTACACCACCAAAAATAAAACGACAACCAAAAAACCTTATAATTTTCAGGATTAACTCTAATGGGCAAGAATCCAGGCTCAGTAAAGAACTGATACTCCAACCTAGGAACAGTCTATGAAGCAGTTTTAGTAACTACCCCCGTCCAGCCCCCAGTACTAAGGGTTATTCTGAGTTTTAATGGAAGGCCCAGGTACATCCTCCTACAAACTCCCTTCTATCCAACCATGGAAGATTTCTTCAAAGGATTCAACAATGATTAAGATACCAAAAAAGCAAATGGCTAATTTGCCTTGGTTTAATAAAAGACAGCCATTTAAAACTACATTTCCTGGGAGCAAGCTGGGTACCAAGTATACTAGGTGGAAAGAGAAAAGGAAAAAATATATATATATGAGGTTAGTAGTCAGAATCCAAAGTGCATTTTTTTTCCCCTTTGAGGAATTAGGGGGAAAACTTTATGAAAGCTCTTTCAGCTTCTGTAGAAAAAATACTTTTGTACCCTCATAAGAAAGGCTTGCTTTTCTAATTTACAGACTCACTTGTACTACACCAATTCACAACAATCATACAATATAGATCAGGCACCACCCACACCTTCTGTAAGAAAATTTATAGAAAGGGTTGAACTACCACAGTTCCTGTGGATGATCTACAACAGTTATATTAAAAAAAAAAAAAAACTTAGGGAAGAATGGATAAATACAAAGTGGTATATCTGTATAATGGAATACCACACAGCAATGAAAATAACAAACTACTGCCACATGTAACATGCACATCAGATACATGTAGTACATACTCTATGATTCCATTTATATAAAATATAAACCCCAGCGAAACTAATCATGGTGTTAGAAGTCAGCATAGTGGTTCACTTTGGAGGGGAAAAGAATGGGGGTGGGTTACCAGGGGTTTTAGGGGTTGTGGTAAAGTTCTACTTTTTATCTGCTTGCATGAGTGGGTTCAGTTTATAATAATTTATCAAGCAGTTGCAATTATAATTTGCGTACTTTCCTGAATGTATATATAATTATTTAAAAAGTCAATTAAAAAATAACATATAAGGCCCCCTCCTAGCTTATGCAGTACCTTTATGCAGATTTTTTAAAAATGTGCCCTCTGGATAAATGGATTAGAAAAAGGCATCCCTGTGGGCAGAGGGAGTCCCACAGGTTTGTGGAGGACTGGCTGGTTTTTAACCCCAGTGGTACACTTGGCTAGACACAAAACCGCACATCTGGATGGACATCTGCAAATCTGCAAAACACTCACTTGACCTTTCTTCACCACAGCTTTATGAGGAGGGCAGGGCAGATGTCCTTATTTTACAAAAGAGGAAGTGGCACAGAACAGTAAGACTGATGCACAAAGGCGTCATAGCTAATAAGCGATGGAGCCAGAACAGACTCCGAGGCCAGTAGCTCTTCACATGGTTCTGATTCTGTTTTGGGAGGGGAAACAGGAAGAAGCTTCTTTCTATGTTTGTTACTGTGTATGTTGTTATGGGTTATCTCCATGCTTTGTGGAACTAGGCAGGGAACAAATACATGGTCCAATGTTCTTAATATTGGGGCTTTAGTAAAGGTCCTAGGTTCTAAGCCCATTTGAAAAATATGCTTTAAGCATACACTTAAAAATGAATATTCAACTTTTACATGTTTACTTATGCAAAAAGATCAGTAGAATAGACATGTGTAGATATCAATAAAACATTCTAGCCTTCCCATAGCTTAACATTATTAACTTATGGACATAAATCTTTCCGTGTCTTGAAAAAAATGAAAGAGAAAGACACACACCTAAGGTATATGTCCAGCTTACCTAGAAGTGTCTGCTTATCTTGGGAGGAGTCAGACTCTGCAGAACACCTGCAAGTTCGGAGAACAATCACTCCTCCAAGCACACCATCTTCACTGGCCAGGAAAGGTGAACCTAGGCAGGAAAGGCAAATGGTCATTTTTCAGTGAATTTTCCTTTTTTAATTTTCAATTTTCATTTGATTATAAGAACAAAAATGTGGTATGAATAAGATCTTGAAAGATGCCCATTTTCTGACAACCACCATAGGCCTGATGGCAAACACAGGCCTATGCCCAATGAGGGGCCATTTGGCAAAGACAATCCCAGATGCTGCCAAAAAGACTTGAGTGGGGGTGGAGTGTGCATTACAGTATTCAGAATGGAACTGGAAACACTACCAGATTAAAGGACCAAAACACAAATACAGGAAAAAATGCTCAGCAAGTCTCTTTGATCAGCTCTTAGGGATCACTTACCAGGCTCTCCCTGCTGTCAGGGGCATGCCACCAAAAGCTTTGATTTACTACCTTAAATTCAATTTTAAACAATAAGCCACAAACTTTATTACAAACATTTAAAAATGATCCTGATGGTTTACACAAATAAGGGTGAAACTGTATTTCTATTATAAGAGTCTGGTGGTTAGAAACAACCAGGCCTCTTTGGGATCTCACACACTGAACCATTGTGAGCATTTCAAGAACACTACATTTTAAAACCCCTCATTTTTCCTCCCCAAGGACATCTTCTTCAAACATCTGGCATAGCAAGTAAGCACGTGGAGAACAAATGCAAATTAACCCAAGCACTATCAAAGAAAGTAATAAAAATAAAAACCAACCAAATTGGATTTGGGGAAGCTTCTGGTTAAACTTAGTTGATTAAACACATATATTTATCTCCACTCCTTCCAAAGGCATGGCCCAATGAGGACAGAGAGAAAGGCAAACGAGAAAAAAACTGACCTTTTAGAAAATGAAAAGAAGATGGACATTAGTTGGCTCACCTAGTGGGACCGCAGGAGCTGAAATCTAAGCTTTCATGGTGGGACAGGGTTGAAATTGGGGAGGTCACCTATAAGAAATCACCCAGTTTTGTCATGAAACCCAAAAAGAATTGGAAATTGGAAGCCTCCAGTTTCTCTGAAGGCAGGGATATGGGGTGGGGCTGAAATGAAGATGGCTGGTTTAGAGTGTCCAAAAGGACCCTCTACACCAGGTGTCAGTAAGCTATGACTTATCTGGTCTACAACCTGTTTTGGTACTGTCTACAAGAGATGCGTGTTTATTTTACAATTTAAAGGGTTATTTAAAAAAAAGAAAAAGGAACGAGGGACACTTTGGTGGCTCAGTCTGATAAGACACCCTTATCAGTGTCTGCCTTCAGCTCAGGTCATGATCCCAGGGTCCTGGGATCAAGTCCCACATCAGGAAGCCTGCTTCTCCCTCTCCCACACCCCCTGCCTGTGTTCCCTCTCTCTCTCTCTGTGTCTCTGTCAAATAACTAAATAAAATCTTAAAAAAAAAAAAGGACGAGAAGGAGAAGAATATGTGATAGAGACCATGATATAGCCCAAAAAGTCTAAAATCTTTACTTTCTGGTCCTTTCAGAAATAGTTTGCCAACCCCTGATCTAAAGCCCCAGATTCCTGCATAGAGAGGAAGTTACTTCTTCCTAACCCAGGAGATGCCAGGATATTTACTCTTTAGAGAGGATGAACCAGAGGGACTTCAGTCTTGGGGGCATCAGACTCAGCATAGGGCAGGAGAGAGGCTCCACAGTGAATATAGGCTGTGGAAGTGGAAGTCTTAATGCTAAACAGTGAAATAACCAACTCCTTTACCCAGAGGCTCCCAGGATACAAGAAGTCAGGCTGATATCCTCCAAACAAAAGACTGGATAACTCCCTTCCAGCCACACCAGCTCAGGAATAAAGACCTATCTGAGAGACCCTAAAAAATTTGCCTTATGGTAAGAGCTTCCAGATGACAAGTATGACTCATTCAGAAGGTTTTCACAGTTCAGCTTTTTGGTATTTAACTGTTAAAAAGTATAGACTACCTAGGATCACTAGTGGTTTCAGTTAGGCCTCTAGAAAAGACAGACCAAAACTAAAAAGCAACACAGAGAAAACTTAGGCAAATGCATTGAGCAAAAGAAAAGAAAAAAAGAGAGAGAGAGAAATCAGAAGAACCGGCCAGAAGGTCCAATATCTGAATAATAGGAGTTTCAGAAAAAGAGCATAGAGGAAATGAAATTTCAAAGAAAGAATTCAAAAACATTTCCAAGAATTGAAAGGTAAGTGCTTGGACTAAAAAGGCTCATCAACCTCCCAGAACAACTCATGAAAAAAAAAAAAAAGTGCCATGGAGGTACATCACTGTGAAACATCAAAATATTGAAGAAAAAGAGAAAAGTCTAAAAACTCTCAAGTGGGGGAAAAAAAGTCACATGGAAAGCAAGGGTATCATAACAGCATCAAAATTCTCAATGTAACACTGGTAAGTAGAAGATTAGAAGGCACCTTCTTCAAAATGCTAAAGGAAAATTATTTCCAACCTAGAATTCTATACTAGGCCAAAATGTCAGTCAAGTGTGAAAACAGAATAAAGCTCTACAAAGTCTCAAAGAATTTACCTCCCAGGTACCTTCTCAGAAAGCTGTAGGATGAACGTGCCTTGGCAAAGTGAAGGAATAGGGCCCATAATGAGAAAAAAAAATGAGATCTGGAAACAGGGGATCCAAAACAAGAGAACAGAAAAAGATTCCAAGATGGCATGCAGCTATGCAGCAGGCTTAGAAAGTGGACAGTCCAAATTGAAACAGGAAGCCAGAGGAGGCTGGAAAGATATTTCCAAAGGGAAAATAAATCAGACTTACAGAATATATGTTGGGTTTGAAATTATTAAGAGGAAATGTTTCAGATTTTGAGGGAAGTTTGACAATCAAGAGTGACTGGTATAAAAAAAAAAAGAAAGAAAGAAACCTAAACAATAATGAGGCAAATATTAACTGCAGAAAAAAAATAATAATTTGTGTAAGAAAGGAAATAGAACCACAGTACACTATGTAGTGCAGATGTCAATAGCTGGAGCCAAAAATATAAACTCACAATACTGATGAACTAAAAAAAAAGGGAGGGGGACATAATACATTAAGAGGAGGAATGGTACATGTAGTATGTGTAGGTTTGGGGTTGGAAATATAGGGGAATTAAATCTTGCCCTTTCCTGGTATGAATATGAAGATATCTCAATTCGATATATAAACAATATCTAAAATTGAAAACTGAAGGAATAGTAGTACAAATGTGTTATGTTGAATTACAGATATAACTTCTAAATGAAATAGCTATGAGAGTTAAAAGTAGTAGCCTCAGGGGAGAGGAAGCTGGGGGAAAGGAGACTGGATTGGAACAGGGAATCATTCATTTTCGTTTTAAGTCTGGGGGTATTGTCTTTTTAAACCATTTACTTGTTTTGTCTTGCAAAGAAAAACAACACAAATTTAAACTGTGGAACTGGACTAAATTTTTTAATCCTCAGCCTCTTAAAGAAGGGGTAAGGAGACAGGAAATTCAGTCATTGAGAAACTACCCTGCATCAGGGCTTGGTTCCACGCTTTCATGTTCTACAGTTTGATTTTCAGAACCACTGAAGGGGGTCAGAGAAAATCTCCCCAAAATGTGTCATTTTGGCATGTGGACTATTTTGAGCTGAAGGCAATTGAGACCCTGTGGGCTCAAGAGAAACTTTTGCCTCACCCTTAACTACCTAGAAGAATCTAAATTGGGGGTCTTTCCTAGAATTAGAGTTATCACCAGGAATAAATTTTATCTGAGTAACCCATCTGTATGGCAAGGCAAATATCTAATTACCAAACATCTGTTCTTCTTATTGCCTATGAATTGCCCTCCTCCCCTTTGAAGCCCCAGGCCCCTATCCCATTCCTTAGCTCAGCATGACATAAATAACTCATTGTACCTTTTTGTCTTTGAACCTCTCATGTATAAGGAGTTCCTGTATGTATGAAATTAAATTTGACTTTCTCCTGTAAATCAGTCTCATGTCAATTTAATCTTTAAACCAGGTGGAAGAATCTTTGAAGGATAGAGGAAAATTTTCCTCCCCAACACTACTGTGCCATGAGGTGTTTTCACGTTACAGATGAAGAACCTAAGGTTCAGAGAGTTGAGCAGAGTATGTGGTTTTCCCTTATGATTCTCTGAGCCCATAGGCCTTGTTTGCTTTGCAGCAATGCCTGTCAGGGAATGGGAAACTTCGTATAAGCTCACATTCCAGCTGCTGTTAGAAACCTCCACCCCACCAGCACTCAAACTCTTGATACCTCTAGAACAGTTCCTTTCCCTACCAAATCCAGGAATTTCTCCTAGGTTCCTAACAGCTCATCCAAGCTCAAAACTCTCTATCTCTTCCCTCTTCAATGACTCAACACATGAAACCATGTTAAATCCCAACAGTTCTCCCTATGACTGTATTTGTGCTAGTTTCTGCCCCTTCATTTCCACTGACAAGACCCTCAATGTACTTTCATTATACTGAAAACAGTGTAGTAGGCTCCATGCTCCAGTCATCCGAATCTCTAAATTAATTAATTAATATGTACTATGTGCCAGGACTCTTCTAGGCACTGGGGATATAGCAATGAAAAAAAAGAAGTCCTTGCTCACATCTAGTTGAACAGGTTAGGGGACAAGTAAATTTACAAGTCAATAAAGAAATTCATCCAGTTATTGATAAGCACTGTGAAGAAAATGAATCCTGGTAAATGATAGAAGGTGTGACTTGAGCAGGGGCTACTTCACATCAAGGGTCAGAAAAAGCCCCTTTTGTTAAGGAGCTAACCATGTGAAGACCTGAGGGAAGAACATTCCAGGCAGATGAACAAGCAAATGCAGAGACGTTAAGGTGAGAAGGAACCTGGATGTTCAGGAAATACAAGGAGACTACAGTGGTAAGAGCTGAGTGAGGGAGAGGGAAGAGAGGGCAGAACATAAATTCAAAGAGAGGCAGGGCCTGGGCGCCTGGGTGGCTCAGTCATTAAGCGTCTGCCTTCGGCTCAGGTCATGATCCCAGGGTCCTGGGATC